ATTGACCAAACAATTATAATTAATACTGAGCCTCAAAGTAATTATTTGGGAACTGGAGGTGGGACAGCAACCGCCATTTACAATGTGGATGCTGGGACTTGAACCTGGGTCCTCTGCAAGATCAGTCAGAGCTCTTAACCTCTGAGTTATCTCTCTAGCTCCATCCCTCCATTTTTAGTGTAGTATCTGAAGATAGAAGCCCAAGTTTGTTCTTTAGACGCTTGAAAGGGGTTATTAAGAGTTCATCCAACCTAAGCTTGCTTTAAGAAGGTGAAACCAGCCAAGCAGTTAGCAAGATCTCTGGGGCCCTTTCAACAGTGCCTGTAATGAAGTGGCATGTGGGAAAGCCATGGTTGGTAACAGCTGAAACAGCTCGGCCTTGCTAATACCAATGAGGATTTTAGGCTTGATTCAGAAAAAAGTTTGCAAGAGAAAAAGGCCAAGTAGTAAGTTATCATACCTTGCTACTCCTAAGTGCCCTGTTCTGGTCTTGCCCCGCAGGGCACTTCAAACCATCATCTTGTTGCCCCAAACCCTCTGAATTCATATTGTTTGTAGAGAACTTACAACCCTTTTATTCAACAGGTAGGAATGAGTCAGCAGTTCAGTTGCCAACAACAGAGGCCAACTTTGGCTAATTGAGCATGAAGAGAACTCACGGGAGGGGCAGGCACCTGCCCCACAGACAGAAGAAACTGTTGCTGGTGGATAGGGGGCACCATGGCCCTGGAAGCCTTTAGGATGCAGCCCTCATGATTACACTTGTTCTAGATGCAAAGTGCTAGGAAAGGGTGTTGGCTTAGCCCTGAGCCTGTCCTCAGCTGCACCATGGGCAGGGGAGAGTTTCACAGGCAGAAGGGACACTGGGTGTCAAGCATATGAGGAGAGCTGTGTAGGGAAAACAGCAGGATGGATGCCAGATGAAGAACAGCCCACTCTTCGAATAAGCCAAGACACTTGGAGGTGTTAGAGGAAGAAAATCTAAGTGTACTGAATTAGCCAACACTTGTCAAACCTTTCTGCTTGTGATCATTTGCCATTGGAGAAATATTTACACAACCCAGGGCACACAAGCACATAATATATGTGTGCAAATCATTTATTGGCAATAAATCACAGAGATTTAAAACAACTTTTGACACACATTAGTTATTTAAAGAAAGCAAGCTTGTGTACTAAGAAGTGTGCTCATTTGATTTTGCACAAGGAATTAAATCTTGGCTCAATATCTGATCCTGGAGTTTACAGAACATCTTCAACTTTTTTTCGGTTGACTGATACTGTGATTTTATAATAGTCAGGGCTGTGTTGAAGCCATTGCCTGGAATAAATACATAGTACAAAGGGCAGCAGCTTACTTGGGGCCATTTTAGAAATTATTTTAAACCCATGCCAAAATTTTGTGTGTGTGTGTGTGTGTGTGTGTGTGTGCACCAACATATGAGTGAAACCTCAAGTCAGCAACTCAAAAACTAATTTCTCTCTACCTCTCTCTCTTTGCCTTTTCAATGTCTGGTTATTTATTATTTCCCCTTCAGCATATTCTGCGGCCTCCCCATTTTTCTTAGCATGTTGTTTCTTCAGAGCAACATGTTGGTGTTTGTGTTGCCAGACACGTGGAGTAACAAGAGGCTTAAAGGGTGCTTTTCTCCTGGGCTGCTTTGTTTAAGGCTTTCAGCCAACATATTGGTGAATGTTTTATTGCTCTGAATAGAACACTATGACCATAGCAACTCTTAAAAAGAACACATTTAACTGGGGGTCCTTAGAGTTTCAGAGGTTCAGTCCATTATCAATGGTGGGGAGCATGGTGGTGTGCAGGCAGACATGGTGTTGGCTACATCCTGATCAGAAGGCAACAGGAGATGGACTGAGACACTGGGTAGTATCCTGAGCATAGGAAAGAAACCTCAAATCCTGCCCACACAGTGACACACTTCCTCCAACAAGGCCATACCTACTCCAACAAAATAATGCCTCCTAATAGTGCCACATCCTATGAGATAATGGGGGCAAACTACCAGAGTGGACATCCTCTTCTTTAGAGACTAACGCTTTCAGATTCTGTGAGCTCTTTTGGGCCCCAATTGAAGAAGCTCAGTAGTTACCTCTCTTTCTTTATTTATAATAACCAGGTTGAGAACCCACAGTGCATCCCAGAACACACATGTGCTTCCTCTCTCCAGTTCTCCTTGCTCTATAACAAGAGCACCCCTTCCTCAACAGCCGGCACACTCTGCCATGGGTCATGACACCTTGCTTCATGGGAAAACACTGTTTGTTGTTCCCACCACTGATTCCTATCACATGACCTTTCCACCCTTCACCGGGAGCAGCAGCAGCTACTTCTGTGGCCATGCACTTCTCAGAGAAAGTACAAAGCCTGCGTTCATCACCCACTTCAATGGACTTCTGACAGCTGATGGCTGGGAAGGAGATATTCAGCTTCATCTTGACACGGCTGACTGCCTAGGAGGCGCCACGAAAAAGATCTCAAATGGCAGCTTTTCAAGTCAAACATTCTGACATAATCACTCCCAAAAATATACTCACGATACTTATATGCTGAGGAATGAAGGTGAGGAAATACTAAACTCCTTTGGGGTGTGTGTGTGTGTGTGTGTGTGTGTGTGTGTGTGTGTGTGATAAAGCCATCACAAGCAAAATCACTAAGCTGTAAAAACTGCATCCGGAACATCCAGTAGTCTGGGATATGAGCTGATGTAGTGTTTGGACACAGTGCAGCATGACATGACCACGTGCAACCAAGCCTGCAGGAAAATCGCAAGACCCAACACAGTTAGCAGTGCCAGGACATCCCCGACTCATCATGTGACTCGTTTGGAATTCATTTTTGATCACTGGGCACTCAGTGATCTCTCATGACCCTCATGACTCCAGGTTTAGAAACCAGGTAGGAAACCACTTCTAATGAATTGTGGATAAAAGCCACACACCTTGGAAAGCATGTAAGAGAAATGGCAAATTGCCCTTAAGTTATTGTAGAATCATAATCCCCAAGTGAGACTCCTGAAGAGCTCCTGGAGAGGCACATAGGACAGAAATGGGGAGAGGGGGACACTGGAAACATAAAACTAGTAACTGATGCAAACAGAAAGGTCAATGGGAAAGAGAAGAGCAGAGAGACAGCATGATGTGTGCAAGGCTTAGGAGCCAAGAAACAACATGGTGCGTGTGAGGGTTAGGACATACTGGGTCACTTCAGTTAAGACAAGCAGAGCCATGGGGTATAGGAAGAGATTTACACTGCTCATCACTGAAACAACTCCAGGTTGGTTAAGAAGTAAAACCAAACTGTGGGGTTGTGTGACTAAAGCATATTGCAAACTTTGACACAGGTTGTCTCAAGGAAGACAAAATATAGAAATTAAAGCAAGAGAGTTAAAGCTGGCTTCTCAGTTGGTAACTTACTCTTATATGAGAATGGTCACAACTTTGCTCATTGTCACTTCTAATGGCCAAAGTTCAGGTGCCCATTAGACAATGAGTTAGCAACCACCAGTCCTTCTAACACATACCTCCAGAATGTGCCTTGACCAAAAGGGACCCAGACACAAATTATTCCATTCATATGAAGTTGAGAAACAGGCAGAAAAAAACAAGAGGCCATGCCTGGGAGCAGAGAGGTAGGTGTGTGTGTGTGTGTGTGTGTGTGTGTGTGTGTGTGTTTGGGGGAGAGGGGAACCTGAGGCCAGAGAGAGCATTCGATCCCTGTAAATGAATTTACAGATGGTTGTGAGCTACTGGTTGTGAGTGCTGGGAAACAAACTAGAGTCCTCTGCAGGAACAGGACCTCAATTGCTGGACCATATCTTCAGCCCTAAATCTGTGCTTTATTGTATGTACATTTTATCTTGAGTGGTAACTATTAAAAGTGGGTGGCATGTATGCTGGATACTTAGGAACAAGTTTACTGATGACTATGATTTACTTAAAATGTGCAAAAAAAAATTCAGTAGATGTTTGCATACCACCACAGCAAAATATTCCAAATTAGAGCTAGGATGTTATCAAATCCTGTGGACTTTCTCATGAGCTTGAATTTTTTCACACTGAAATTCAGGGAGAAAAGAAGCCACAGACTGGAGGGTTATTTTTCTTAAGTTGATCATCAATAAGACAATGAAACAGATGGCCAAAAATAAGCATACTCCCTTCAAACAAAATGGCAATGACAACAAGGCCTGGTGTCATCAGAGCTGTGAAAAGATTGGTCTAATTTAAACCAGGAAGGCCATTGTCTCCTCACACACCAGGCAGGTACTAGCATGTCACTGACTGAGCTTCTGAGGGTGAGCAGTGGCTACTGCTGGTGAGCCAGGCCTCGGAGCATTGTTCTCAGGATCCAGTGCAGTAGTCAAGGTGAAATGGAATCATTCTAGAAAGATCTATGACCAGTTGCTAGGTAATGGATGTTGTTACCAGCATTTATGCAAAATGCCCACACCCACAGAGCAAGAGATGGGCTCTGGAAAAATGCAGGCTTCTACCTGGATGAGGATTAAGGGTGGTAGACCAAACAATCTGCTTTGCAATAGGTTGATGAATTTTTACACAGCCACGTTTATGTGCTGAAAACTGTTCAGCACCTTCCTAGAACAAATAGGAAAATCCTGAACTCGTTCACACAGACCTTACAACTAGTATCCCCTCAACAATGCTCAGTGTCTCTTGCTCCCTCCTAATTTAGTCTACGCCCAGTGGATACCCCAAGATCACAGAGATTAGCAGTCTTCTGTGAGGTGACCAGAAAACAGTCCACTCTCGATCACTTCCTTCCAATGGAGTACTGAGTCATGGCTGACTCCATGGGCAGGACATTTACATGGTTTGCTTTTAACTATACTACACAGACTCATTTTCAAGCAAGATCTACACACAACTAATGTGTTCTGACCAATAGGAGGCAGGTGTGTATTTCTACACTTACACTCAGTTGTTGGCCATTTTTAAGAAAACAAATCAAACAGTTCACAAAATCTAGTTGCAAGTTTTATTTATATAAAATTCATTAGGAACATAAAAGATCGAGTTTCTTAAAAAAAAAAAAAATCTGCAGTTATTTACAGCAGTATTGCACAAGTACAGTGGCAATTACCCTGTCAAAATTCATCAGTGCAAAACATAAAGGAAGCCAGGGAAACTGCAATACAAATGCTACATACGCTGGGTCCTTGGACACGTTAGTGATGGGGCACTATACAGACATCAGTGCTATTTATTAAAGGGTACCTGACAGGTTTGGATACAGTAACCAGTGGTCAAAGAACCATTAAATTTCAAAATTCCCAAATAAAAGCAGTCAAGTACTTTGCTGGGAGCTTGAGGATGCTCTATGCAATGCTGTTTGGGAGGGAATCCCCGCCAATTTAGCGACACGTGTGGACACAACCCGCGCACACACACCGTACCGAGCCGACACACACAGGCACCAGGCTAAATCAGCAGGGAGGACAGAGCTGTCTACGTTAAGTCATATGCCCCTAGAGCCTCAGTGAGCTTTTCCATTTTGACAACCAAGGCCAGCGGGACCCTGACCTCTTCTTGGGGGATATGAAGAGTTGGAGCAAGGGCATGGACCTGTGAAGAAGGCTGGACTAATGCAATGAATGAGGGAGGGAGCTGAACAGCTTAGTTCCTTACTACAGGCTATATACCTCAACCTAGGAATCACACAGCAGGTGGGGACAGTAGCCAGCAAGTGTCCTGGTGAGACAGGTGGTCTTGGCAAATGCCCCACCGGCCCTCCTCCTATCCAGGACAGCCACACAGCAGCACCTCAAGAGGTGGCAGGATTGTATTTCTCTCAACACTGAGTTGTCAACGATACTCTTTTCAATGGGAAAACAAAACAAAACAAACAAACAAACAAAAAAAAACCCAAAATAACCTTTCCCATCTGCTGATAATACTTCTCTAAAGATATGGCCAACTTACTGGAAAATCTGTTTTTCTCAGAAGCCAGCTGCTTTACAACAAATAGGTTTGATGGGGGTGTTTTTTTAGAGTACAGCCTTCCAGCCTACCACATCTAGGGTATCTTATGGGCAGCAAAACACTAATTTCATCAGAAAGGTGGCAGAATCTAAGAACTGAATGCCAGGAGCCACAGCGGGAGGCCACCTTGGGAGAGCAGACCCAGTCACTGCTCCCCACCTCAGGAGCTGAAGTAATTCATGGGATGGCAGGGGTATGGGGGGCAGGGATGTCAACACTTTCAAGAACTTAAGACATTAAATAAGCAGAAAATAAATATACAACATTTCTACAAGTTACAGCATTATGAAACAGTAGGGCACATTACACAGAAAAAGAACCTACAATATTTACAATCCTTAATTCTGAGAAGTTTAGAAAAACAGTGATTTTTTTTTACACTCATTTATGCAGTACAAAATTTTACAAAGAAAGGTAAAGGAAACACAATTGCACACAGACATTTGGCTCAGTTGATGAATAAAACACGACTTCCTAATCTAATAAATAGTCAAAATATATACAACACTAAGAGGAAACAGGAGAGGTTGTGTACATTATCCATTACATATTTTAATGAAAAGAGATTTTAAACTGATTTTTTTTAGCCAACCCCCTCCCCCCCAATTCATAAAATTGTTTCTGGGAAGGAAATCTGAAGAATTACTCAGGAAGTCATTTCGTGTGTTTATTGCATCTTGGGGTGAAGTCACAGGACTTCACTTTTTTTTTTTTTTTTTTTACAAACCTCACATGGGGAGGCTGTCAAGGCACAAAACCCGCATTATGTTCACTCATTCACACATACATACACACATACACACACACACACACACACACGGGGAGTTTCTGTTCTACCCCCCCAAAAAAGAGAGAGATAACAATAATAAAATAAAAATTAAGTACAAGGGTCCACCCACAGTGGGCAGACATACTTTCTTATTTGCATTTTAATAAGCAGATACAGTACAGGGACATCCAGTCATATCTAAGTTCCGGGTGCCACATCCTGTTCTTGAATACTTCTACAATTCATTGAATCTTTTCCATCTCCATGAGCTGCTTTGATGGCCAGCCCTAGATTGGAGGCCAATAGGCCAGAGGTAAGCATGCTTGAAGGGCCACACATGCCACTGGCACCTGGCTCTGGGAGCCTTCTGCACCTGCCAAAGAGGTACCACAGAGCCATAGGGCTGAGACTGTAAAGTGTGTCAGTCACAGACTGGCTCATGAGCACGGAGGTCCTAGGAGTGGAGTGGCCCAGGACCAAGTATGTCTTTGGTGTGTGTGTGTGTGTGTGTGTGTGTCTAGCAGAACCATGGCTACACTCTTAATACCACCTTGTAACAACAGGCCATATGGGAACTCTCCATAGTCTCAACATATCAGGAAACAAGGTGAGCGCCAACACAGCTTTCAAACAATAATCTGAGGAAGCTGGGAAAGAAATGGGTTTAAAAGGAAGAATATTTGGAATCAAGTGATCTCAATCTAGAAGGAAAAGCATATAGGCAATATATATATACATATAAGCACACACACACACACACACACACACACACACACACACACACACACACACACGAGAGCGGAATGTAGGAATGAATGGATTTCTCTACTTAATAACAAAAAACACTGGCCCTCTACCGGGCAAAAGCAAACACAGTTGTTGGCACTGTCGACTTGCTTGGAAACGCATGCATTTCTCTAAGCAAGCTGCCTGATGATTGACGTTTTCACAAGTTAGAGGGCTTACAGTTCTCCCCACCCCACTGATGCTCTGTCCTTTTTGAATCTCCCTGGTTGTGTGCCTACATGTGTGCTGTTCGTTTTGGGAGGTGCTGGGGATGGAGTCCAGGGCCTCTGCACATGCTAGGACAGTGTTCCTTCACCAGGCTACACACCTCCAGCCCTGCCTGCTCTTGAGACGGCTGACCAGTGTGTGGGCTTCTGGTGCATGTGGCCGTAAGGGGTAGGTACCAAGAAAGAGCACCCCCCACCCCAGACACAGGTGGCCCACCAAGATCAAACTGTTAAGAACACGGAGAACAAAGTAGTCAGTCATCTTTTGGAAGACCAAAAAGGATGTTTCACTTGATGCAGGGGAGGTTTCCTATGTATGGTAACTGCTAAGGCAGAGCCAGTCTCTGTTTCAAGGTAGGTTCAAAGGAATGCAGATGAAGTTCAGGTGTCACAGGCCAGGTGGGATGAGCAGGGCTAAATGCCGAGAAGCATGCCAAGGAAAATGACTACCTGAGCCCCTTGCTCCCAAAATGACCTGGTCAATCCCCAAGAAAAGTGTGGGTCCTGGCCCATCTGGTTCATGCAAGCAAGGCAGAGCTCATGGCCATGGAAAAATCCTGCAACCAAAAGAGTTAACAGCTTCAGTAAATGTGAGTCTGCCTTCTCACAAACAAACCCACCACAATGAAGTGAGGTGAACAAAAGCCCTACCCATGAGTCAGCTTGATTGATGGAGCTAAGACCAATCTAGGCAGCCCCTAGCCCTTGCTGACCCAAACACATTGTATCATGAGAGTACCCTGGGCCAAACCTGTGCATCAGTGTGGAGACAGACTGGGAGTATGGGGAGATGAGGGAAAACACAGAAAGTGTGAAATTTTGCCACAGAAGCAACTGGGCTAAGGAGGTAAGCATTTACAAAATGGGAGCGGCACACCAGAACAGACCCTTGGCCACGGTAACCCATTCCATTTCCTAAGAACTGTTTTGGTAGCAATAATTAAAAAGAAACTCAAAGAAGCCATGTTAGAGTAGAGTAGAGAGGACAACACCATACTCTCACTGTTTAAAAATTCTGTACAGTAATCTCCAAAAATAAACTAAGGCAGCCGTATAAATCAGCTGGCCCAGTTCCCACTGCAGGGTTACATATCCTCTGAGAATAGGCAACAGGTCCTTAGGATTTTAAGTATAAAAATCATCCACAAGTTGGCTAAAAAGTTTTCATTTCTTTTCTGAAAAAAAAAAAAAAAAAAAAAAAAAAAAAACCCTCAAAACAAAGGAGATTAAAAAAAAAAAAAACCAGTTATCAAAGAAAGCAGGTTTAAAAAACAAATGAACACACCACATGTAAACACCTTTCTTGCATATGACGCTATCCCAAAGTCCCAGGATCTGTACATTAATAAGAGAAGAGCCCTCCCTTGTTTACATTCACAACAAATGTCTACTCGAAATTCTGCCATGTGGTGATGAACAGAAAGGTTAAGTTCACATGGACACAGTGCAGTGTGTCGGCCACCCTCAGCACCTCTCTGGGACAGAGCCACCCATTGCACAGTGCTGGGGTTCTGGTCCTCCGAACAAGATGGATGTCCACATTTATCCTGGTGGTGTGAAGATCCTGTCAATGTCTTCTCCATACTAGACGGACGATGAAGCGTAACAGTTGTAAGATAACCATTTGAGGGTGGTGAGGGTGGTCTTCAGCCTCTTGGTAATTATTTACCTGCAGCGATACAAGTGGAGTTCTTAGTTAGTCCCTAGAAATCTGGAGAGGGCACATTGAAAGCAAGAGATGTATCCCACCTGAATTGCAGGGGAACGCTATCTGCTCTGCCAGGGAAAGTGTGTGACATCACAGAGGACAAGCATTCCAAATGAATTTTCCTTTACTGAGAAAAATAAAGCGAATAGAAGACTATCAAACCACTCTGAAGGCATCCGGAACGATAAACCTTCAGGTGGGTGCCGGACAAGAGCCAATGGTTTTGCTGCCTTGGGGAGAGGTAGTTGAGGGTGGGAGAAGGGGCAGAGGAAAAGAAAGAACGAACCTGGGTTCCTTTACTACCGTTCACATTCACTGATATTTAGACATGCTCAGAACCCCTCAAAGGTGGATTTTGGTAGCTGTAATGGACTTGAGAAAGCAGTGAATTTGGGGGTGGGGGTTGCCCTAAGAAGCTAAATAAAGTGGGACAGTGATGGGCCTCCAGCTGCACCAAAGGATAAACAGTGACCCTGAGGGGCTGCCCTCTGTCGCAGACAAGGGTCTGGGTCAACCCTGCCATCCCACATCAGGCCTAGGAAGAAAAGGGCAATTAAGAGCAAAGCCTCATATGTAGGTTTGTTACAATCTGAAGACTGTTCAGAAGGAAACCTTGGATTTATGTGAAGAATTCAGACAGAGCCCTTTGCACCTTTCCAGAATATCCACATCGGGGATCTAATTCGTCTCATTGGAGAATGAAAGGCAAGGGAATACATTTGCCTCACTCAATGCCACCGGCCACAACCTGGTTCAAATTCAAGTCTGAAGTAGGCCCTGGTGGCTTCCTTAATGACTAACCCACAAACAGGACCTGGCTGTGTGACTGCCCCAGGCCGCCCCAATGCACTCTGGGGGGGGGGTGGGGTGGGAAGTGCTCCTAGGGACCGTCTGGGAGTAACCATGAATCACACTAGGACTGTCTGTCCCCTCTCAGACTCCAAAGGTCCCACCAGACACCAGCTGCAAGGGAGCTCCCCCTCCCCACTGTTTACATAGCTCTCAAGTTCAACGGGCCAGGGCATTTCCCCTTTCGTTCCATAACAAGATGGGAGGAAATCGGCTTTATGTCAGCGATTCCTGTGGAGGGGCCCCCGTGACCACAGGCTGCGATTTTTATCAGCTCTGCACACAAGATTGCTTTGTTTTGATTTAACTTTCAAAATTACTTTGCTCCTTTTGTGTGAGAATAACTCAGGGGAAGGTTCATTTTGGCGAAGATGAATATTAATAGGCCGAAAGGCTCTTATTCAAAATAGAACCGCAACTCACTAAAACAAAGAAAGCATACGCTAGGACTGACTAAGCCATCAATCCAAGGTGGGAAGACTTAAACAGACCCGGTGTCACTGTGGCCCTCTGCGTAACCAGACAGCGGGGATGGCTGGGTATCCAAGGGATGGGCCTCCTCCACTGCTTATCATCTGGGGAAACATCAACTGGCTAACCATGAGGATGACAGGTGGACGGTGGTGGCCATGGTCAAAGTTAACGAGAAGACATGTACAAAGGACGCATAAACTCATGCCAGGTGGCACGGGTATGAAATGCTGGAAATTTTGGCACAGGGAAGACCCAGGCCCTGGAGGTGGTGGTAGTGATGTGCCGCCCTCTCGGGACATGGTGTGACAGTACAGCACGCGCCTCTAGCAAGTGAACAATTGCTTTTGGACAACATTCAACGGAGGAAGCCATTAGCACTGATTCAGAGTACAGTGCCAGTCCAGAAATCCCTTGACAGCTGGCACAGTGGCTGGAGCGGCGCCTCTGGCCCAGCACATGTGGCCCGCACAAGGGAAAACAGCTGGAGGATGGGTGGCTCTAACTTACGTCAGATTCAGCAATGAGGCTGCTGCCGGTGTGCCTGAGCCTGAGCCCGGTGGTGCTAATGTGCGGCAGATTTGAGAGCTGAAGTAGAATGAAGACAAGAAGCCAGGACTTAATGCTTAGGACAAGGACTCTCAAGAAGGAGCTCCTTGTGACACATACACGGTGACCCAAGGCTGAACTTCAGTTTTTATCTGGTTTAAGGGTCAGGAGAGCTGAAAGGATTGTGCAAACCTACCCATCTCTCCATTCACCCGACCTCTTCAAGTGAAAACACTTCTTAGGTGAAAGTTTGGCAACTGTTTCTGACTAAATCACAAAGATGCTTAGGAGATCTATCACACGGATGCAGTTGGGTGAAAAGTTATTTAAAAGGCTTCAGAGACAAGCGGGCGCCTGAAAATGTGCTAAGATGGGCCTGGGCATAGAAGAGTCACCCACTGCCACTACTAAATGAAATGAGTAAGGTTTTAAGCTTTCAAAACAACCCCACAGGGCCAGTTTGGCTCTCCTCAAGCTGCAACTGGTTGGAAGTAGCAGGGCAAGAAGTGGCAAGGATCCCACACCTTCCCAGAAGGCACGTGTCACCTAGGACCACACATTCAAGTTCCCAGAACGGAGAGCAATGCAGTGGATGCTAGTACGCCATCGACAGAACAGAAATTCAGGGCGACACTCCGATGAACGCAGCTTTGCCTCCAAGCAGCACCTTTCAATGCTCAAGAACACCTCCCTTTTGGCTTCAAGGAGGTTTAAGAGGGCTCTGTGGCGTGGGAATAGAGACCCTGCGGGTGATCGCAGCAACTCAGCTCAGATTTCTACTAGAGTCAGGTACAAACTCCAATCTCTACTGTAGAGCCCGTGCTCAGTGTGACACACCATGCACACAGCAGACTTGAGGGGGCTCAGAGAGACAACCACATCACAATGAAATTAAAGGTTGATGGGGATTTAAAAATCACAGCAAGGAGACACCGTGAGACCTAGGGGTGAGATCTGTGGCAACATAACCACACTTCAAGTCATGTTTCCTGGCACTCAAGGTAACGGGGCTAAAAATGATGGTATTGGTACTGGAAAGATGTCTCAGTGGTTAAGAGCACTTACTACTCTCTTTGTGGGCCTGGGTTCTCCATATCCTCATCCGATGGTCCAGTTACAGGGGCTCTAGTACCCTCTGTTCACTGAGGGCAAATACACACATACGATGCACATAAAAGACAAATAAACTGTTTTAAAAAGTGATAGTACCCTATCTCAAGTTCTTGAAGATAAAAGCATCCCAGAATAGGCACCCACTCAAGACTCTGAGATAGAGGAATTTGACCAGCTCGACAGAGTGTCCACCCTGAAGGTTCCAGCTGTCCTCAGCTCCTATGTAGGCAGCAATTCATTGGAAACTGAATTTGGACTAAGAGACTCTGATAGTCTCTGCTGCCAGCTCTGGCTCCAAAGAATGAGATGCCATGTCCATCTGGATGGTGCTCCCCACCCCTGCTGTTCAGAGTGAGCCATCCAGGAAGCTGAAGGAACCCAGAACACAGCTGTGCTACCTCTATGGGACCCTAATCCAGCCATCAAAACAATTTTATTAAAGCAGCTCCAAGGCCTTAGCTCCTGCCCACCTTCAGACAGGGAACCTGCTGAGATTTCCCTGTGGGTTCAATGCCCATTGCTGCCTTCAGGTCAGATGACGGCTGCCGAAGACCACATACACTTTCCATTTGTCACCAAGGGAACAAGTGCATTTAAACAGCCTGAGTCTGACAGCTTAGTGGTCACAACAGCTGGAGAAAGGGGACAAGAGGCACCAATAGGATGTGAGGCCTCTTAACACTAGAGGAGCAAATGTTTTCCCACCCTCAGATCCTAGAGGCAATCAGACAGAGCTGTTTCAGATCTATCATGGCCACACTGGCTTGAAAGTTACATACAGGCTGCAATGTTTCCACAAGCCAAACTTGTATTCTCTCTGCTTCTATGTATCATATAACAGAAGCTGAAAAGTGAAGATCTTTTATGGGGACGCAGAAACCACTTCACAGGTTTATTCACAGTGGGGGCTACCTGTCTAGCCATTCTGGCAGCATGACACACATTTCTACTTGATGGGGATCCTTGCCAGGCAGGCCTCAGAACTGGTGCTGAGTCCTGCTCTATGGCCAGCCAAACAGGGTTCATGATTGGTATTATGTCTCCTGTGAGAGACATGAGGGACAAAATACTCGATTCAGAGCAGGAACATGCTGTTCTGAGATGCTAAGTGGGATGTAACACACTTTAACCACAACTCAAACCTCCTGCTTTGGTTCAGCGAGGAGAAGTCTAGCAAGGGATGATGCAACAGCTTTATTATTTTTATGTGTCTGCAGAAGGGCCAAACCTCCCTTTCTTTGCATCTTCATTTCCTCCTCCAGAGATAAAAAAAATTACCCTGTAAACCTGCCTGAAGTTCCCCTCCAGGCACCTGCATCTCCTCTTAGTTACATGTTCATGGCTCACCGTCCCACAACTGCCGAGCAGCCCTGCAGGTGTAGCACCTGCCAGGCCCACAGAACCCTCACACGTGGTGTAGATCAACACAAGGATGTCTAGCCCAACACCCAGCCAGCCATTCGAGCACACCCCAGTGCTTCAATCTCCTCTCATATTTGCGTACACCCAGACAGATGCAGCCTGGGCCTGTAGGGTCGAACGCACTTGCTTCAGAAGCACGTTCAAAGCATATAAAGGCAGCCAGGCAGAGAGTTCCTGGCAATACTCAACGTGACAGAGAATGGAGTGATAATGGCACCCAGATTCTCTAGCCCCCAACATTTGACGTTAGGGTGGAGCCTCAGCCCTTGGTGGGGTGCATCGGCTTATGAGCTAAACTTTGCCAATGGTTTCAGAGTAGTTTATTATTGAGAAAAGCAGCACAACAAAGCACTATGAAGTGATCTAACACCTTCCACTTGCCTCCAAGGAGAAACTGAAGCCTTCACCACCTCTAGTCATTGCACAGAAACGGTGTGGCCCAGGTCAGGTGTGTGAACCAAAATGCCAAACCGCTTCCTCCAACTGCAAGGGAAACACATGTGATTGTGTCTCACACAATGACAGGTATCAGTTCACCTAAGCTAGCGACTGCTCTT